AACTTAACAGCCTGACCCTAAGATTAAATATCTCTTTTCCTTTTTCAAATGTTTTAAAATTTTATTTTGTCTTCTTGTTTTTCTTTATTTGTATCTTTTCTCTGTAGTTTCTGTCTCTGTATGGCCCTTCCCCACTTTTATCAACACGCATAATCGAAAAAGAAATATCATTTCATAGATATCTGGAAGAGCTTGGAGACGAGAGGACGAAAAGGAGAAAAAAAGACCAGGCTGCTTGGTAGTAAATTCATTATTTCAAATCTAAAAATTGTACTGAAAAGGACTTAACACAATTCCGCAGAGCGAGAAATTGCAGTATTATAATTTAATATCAATGGGCTTAGTGAGAACTGACAAACCATCTTCTTCTGCACCTACACCACCGCACCTTTTCTCATAGACTAGAACCTTTTTTTTCTCTTATAGACTCTCTATCCGAGCCGGAATGTCATATCAGTTTTGAAAAAAAATATTGAAAAATCAGAATGCAAAGCGGAAAAGTGTCAACTAATCCGAACTTTTTAGGGCACTTTCTCTCCACAACTGCCAGGCGAAGTCGCTTAAATATTGAGGAAGAAAGCGTGTATCTTGTAAGCCGTACTCGTTCAGAGAAAATTATTAACAACAGAAAGAGCAATAAAGTTACTCAGCAAAGGATAAAAAAAGATTAAATTAATACTTAATGAAATTAACAATAGACACAAAAATTGCAGGAAAGTCACTGCAACAAGGACAGCCACAACAATTACAAATATTCCTATAAGGGAAACATTCCAACATCGAAACGGGCCTTAATTGATAAGTAACCTCAACAGCAGATGGAAGAAACAAGTCACAAAACAAAAACAAAACAGACCACAGAAAACAAATAAATCACAACGCCCATAATACATCATAGCTGTGATTTCTGTTCTAAAAGACCCCCAACCCCCACCCAAATAAATAAATAGACACCATTGAAACAACCCAAAACGCAGCAAAAACAAAACAAATTGAAAAACAAATAAAACAAAAAACAAAACAAGAGGAACAACATCACGCGCCTGAGGAATTCTTGTTTATTTTCATTCATTTTGTTCTTTAACTTACTTGCCTTTTTGTTTTAAAAAATGTTCTTGAGTTCTAGTTTATTGGTTTACTTATTTATTTGTCTCGCCTGTGGAACTATAAATGCTATTACTGTTGTTATTATCACTGTTGTTATTGTCATTATTATTATTATTATTATTAG